GTGTGTGGGTTGATTTCTGGATTCTCTATTCTATTCCATTGATCAGTGTGTCTGTTTTTATGCCAGTACCATACTGTTTTGGTTATTATAGCTTTGTAGTATAGTTTAAAGTCAGGTAGTGTTATGCCTCCAGCTGTATTTTTTTTGTTCAGCATTGCTTTGGCTATGCATGGTCTTTTGTTATTCCATACAATGATATATGTTTAAAACCTAGAGCCCAGGCTTCTTCCATGCTGTCTGCTGTCCCCAGACAAATCCTGTGGCCTGGTTGCGGGTGGTGTACTCTGGCCTATGTGGTTAACCCAAGCCAGTGCTCCAGCCATCAACTACTCACCTACCCACCTGCAGACTCTGGGACTCAGGTCTCACCACCCTATGCCTCTCTCCCTGCAGGGGGAGCTGCTGAGCCCGTGCCGCTGCGATGGCTCTGTCAAGTGCACGCACCAGCCGTGCCTCATCAAGTGGATCAGCGAGCGGGGCTGCTGGAGCTGCGAGCTGTGCTACTACAAGTACCACGTCATCGCCATCAGCACAAAGAATCCTCTGCAGGTGCGACCCGGAGCCCAGTGGGGGCTCTGGGACCCGGGGTCATTTTAGCAGGAGAATTACTTCACCTTAGATTCAGGGCAGTCTGGATACGGGCTGGATGGGCAAGCACTGTGGGTGACACGCGGGCAGGAGAGAATGAAAGAACTTTTTGTTTTCTCTTAAGCCTCAGCAAGAAGAAGAGGAAGGATGGGGCAAAGAGAGAGAAATAGCAGGAAAGAAATGTGGAGAATCAGATGAAAGAGAAAATAAGTAAGGGAATGGATGAACGAATGAATGAACAAACAAGGAAAGGGGGAATAAAAGGAAAGAAGGAAAGGGAGAAAGGAAGAAAATAATGGAGAAAGAAAGAAAGAGGGCAGCAGAGAGCACGACATGGAAGAAAAGGGCAGAGGGAGGGGTGAAAAGGAGGGAGAAAGAGGGAAGGAGGGAAGGAAGGAAGAAAGAAAAAAGAAAGGAAGGAAGGAAGGGAAGAAAAGAAAAGAAAGGGAGGAAAAAAGAGAGACCAGAGGGCAGAGGAGAGCAGGAAACAGAAAAAAAAAAAAAAAAAGCAGAGGGGAGAGGGGAGGAAAGGGACTGAGCTAAAGCTAAGGGCTGGAAAAGAAGAAATATGGGAGAGAAGACTCAAAGGCACTTCTCAAACTTTAATGCGGGAGTAATTCACCTGGCATCTTGTCAAAATGCAGACTAAGATTCAGTAGGTCCAGGGTGGGGCCTGAGATTCTGCATTTCTAACAAGCTATCGGGTGATGCTGAGGCTGCTGGTTCACAGACTATGCTTCCTGTGACAAGGGACAGAGAAAAATGGAGAAGAGACAGGAGAGGGGGCAGAGAAAAACAGGAAAATGGGCAATATGGAAGGGAGAGGAGGAGAGAGAGTATGAAAAGGCAGGCAGGGCCAGGGCTGGGGCAAGGGTCTGCCTAACAGATTCAGACAGAACTTGGGGCTCCCCTGCCCACCCCACCCTCTGCCCTGCCCTGCCACACCCCATATCCCCAGAGGAGTTGGCAGGCCCTGTGCCACTCTGATAAACACCTCCAAATTAAACAGCTTTCCCTGCGAGGAGCACACATGTGAATAGAGCATTTTCTTCTTAAAATATCTCCACATATGTATGATCAGCTAATTAAGCGGCCACATAATCAATCAGCCAGTACGATAGTGAAGATGGGCACGTCAGCTGCCTAGCACTGGTTCGCTCCTCTTCTCAGAGAGGGGAAGAGTGGCTCCTCCAAACTCAGGAAGGCTGGGGTTTGGTGGTTCTGGTAGGGGTGGGGTCTTTGCACAGAGGGACAGCTGGAAACACCTGGAGCTGCAGTGTCCAGGGCATTTTATTTTAGACCCTATGAAGCTTTACATGGGGTGCTCCCAGGAATGAGAGAGTGAGAGGGAGAGAGAGAGAGAATGTGTGTATTTGTGTGTGTGTGTATGTGTGTGTGCATATGGGCAAGGATGGTAGGCATATTTCTGGAAGGTGGCACTAAAAGTCCTGGTGCCTTACTCATCTTGATGATGTACCAAGGGGTCAGAATAAGATGGGCCTTTCCTGTGGCTGGTTCCATCTTCAGCCATTCATTTCGAAATCTTGAAGTGTCTTAAAATAACAGTGTCTGGAGACAGTTGATTCCACATCCTCTGGGGAGCGAGCAGAGGTCTGAGTGCATTAACGCTTTCCTTCCTTTGCAGCCAGATCTAGCCTCAAGAAAGGGTCAGATTCCAGACTCACGAGCCCTCCCCAAAGTATCCCCCCACCCCCGCCCCCAGCTCCACTCTTCTCTCAAAAAGTGAAAAACCATTTAGGGATAACTTTTTCCTGGTGATAAAAAAAGAAAACTAATAACTAATAAAACATAACATTATAAGTCAGGTAAGTAAGTGACAGTGTTGGCAATATTGATCTATTAGTCTATTCTTAAGTTACTACCCTGTCTTCAGCGATGAGCTTCTACACACTGGGGACTCCCTCTGATTCTGTTGCTCCTGGCAATGCAGTGATGTATGCCCAATAAATGCCATTTCACTTTTCCAGATAGCACCAGAAGGAAGTAGCTTGGACTAGAATCAGTGTCATGTGATTGTGGCCTAAACTGTCCCAATCTTGTGTCCTGGAATCCTTGAGCCCAGCCAGGTACAGGACAGTTACTTGCTCAGGCACAGTGGTGATTCAGCCAAACCACCTGCAGTACCCGATGGGGCTAGCACTCCCCAGCACAGGCCCTCAGAGCAATGGATGGGGTCCCAGGGCTGTCTCTGCTATCAGAGGGGGAGATTCCTTCCAGACCTCCTGGTTCATGCCTCATACAAAGTTGTGAGAAATAGCACAACTGTTCCCTGTGGGACAACACCTCAGTCACCCTCTGGAAGCAATGTTTCTAGCCACTGAGAAAGGAGTTGCAGCCCAGCCCTGTAGGTCTTACAGCTCCATGGCTGCTTCCTACCTTCTCTCTGCTAAGTCTGAACTACAATTATATTAAGGGATATTTAGTTAGTGTTTAAAGTGCCAGTCAGTGTTCTAAATATTCACATATGTTATCTAATTTAATCCTGAAAATAACCCAATCAAGTGGGCTGTTACTATCATAATTTACAGATGAGACAATGGAAGCCCAGAGGGGTTCAGCAGCTTGCCCAAGGTCACACAGATATGAAGTGAAGAGCTGAGTTGCACACAGCGAGTCTGACTGCTGCATGGCTCTTAACCTCTACCCCTAAACGTACAGGCACATGTAGGAATACCCCCACCTTGACATGCTCATCTATATTTTTGCTGAAACGCAGTAAAGAGCACCCCTAAACGTACTGGTTTAAGAGTTATTTCATGTAACACTCACAATACTCTAGGAAGTAGGAGGGATCAATTATTTCCATTTGTACGGAAGGGAAATTGAGGGTCCTCATTACTTATTGACTTCTCCTAGATCACACTCAGCAGGTTGGAGCAGAGCTCAACTGGAATTGGGCCACCCGACCCTATGCTCGGTGCCCCTTCCTGTGACAAGGAAGGAAGTGTCTGATCATGCTTGGTGCCCCTTCCTGTGACAAGGAAGGAAGTGTCTGATCTTCTTGCTCTTCCTCTTTGTCTCTCCATTGTAAGGCAGGAGTTCAGGGAAGGGTCTCATGATCTGGGATCAGAATCTCACTTGGAACAAGCTTCCAAGGTTCTGGGTGTGTGATGGTGGCAGATCCTGGTACCACTGGGGCCCTGATCCCCTTCCTAGCCTTCCTTTGAGGTGTCAGAGCTCTCCTGCCCTCTGCTTTGTCCACACAGTTCTTTCCCCATAGCCTGGGGGCCTCATGTGGACAGACAGGAGGAGGGTGCCTCGGCCACAGCACCCCACCCTGTCCTTCTTCCTTACACTTCACAATGGGGTCGGGAGCCCATTCAGCTTCCACAGGTTACTCAGGGACTACTGGGAGGGGCTTTAGGGATGAAAGGGACCTTTCTGTGCCTCTATATTTAGGATTTCTGAAGTCTGGAGGAGCACAAGAAGGTGAGGGTTACTGATGCCTCAATGGTAAAAAACAAAAAGCTCAATCAGGAGCCCTCTTTCCAGGCAGTGGGGCAAACCCTGGAAAAATCATTTGTTGTATATGAGGGACGTCTACATGATCAGGCCATCTTCTGGAAAATTCCTTTGTTATGTATGACCCTAGGAGGGGGGAAGCAGTGGAAAACCAAAAGGCCCAATTACCTGTAATGGGAAGCTATCTGCATAATTAAACGTGAAGGCTGATGTCCTACATCTGGACTAGCACGTGAGATGTTTTCCAATGGTTGTCATTCCCTGGGGGCCACAGGCCAGTCCCAGCTGGAATCAGAATCAGTGCTTGCATCCAGGCTGTTGAACGTGTACTAAGGGCTCCCTGAGATCACTGATACTTCTTCAGCCGCTGTTTGCTGGTTAACAAGCTTCCTCTTTTCATTTTTCATGAACATGTCTTCCCTCTATTCGCTCAGCTGGGTCTGTGAACAAGACAGTCCTCACTATCCTGAGCTTTGGATCTCTTATCCTGGAGATACATTCACAGGAAGTCATTTTGGTTCACAGCCTTGTGATGAAGAAGACTCAGGGGCCGGAGGGCTGATTATGGTTCTAATTTGCAATTACGCAGTGATTTTTCACACTGTTCATGGAGTCCTGACTTCCTCCCCATTTGGGTTGGAGAGTTAGAAGTATATGATTGAATTGGAGTAGTATAGGCTGTGATTGTCGTAAGAGTTTGGCATATTAAATTGAATTGGAGGTATTGGGTAACAAATGTAAATTATTTTCTTCCATTTCTCAGTCCTACACAACTGTATATTTACTGCTTGCAGCAGACCCTGCATAGAAAGGTGAAATGATTTATCCTAATGCCTTTGAAATGGGAACTGTTGAGAGACACCTGAGTGGTCTCTTTGAACTCAAGATGCAAACAGACTGTGCTGCTGTTGGAGGCAGCATGAAGCTGAAACAATATTCCTGGTGTCTGGTGGTTTTTGATTCAAGTGATTTAGGTCTACCTACTGTAGTTCTTTTTTTTTTTTTTTCCTTTTTGTCTTTTTTTCGTGACCGGCCACGGGATTGCAACCCTCGGTGTTGCTCCCACCCCTTGCTCAGCCAGTGAGCAGCCGGTCTGTATGTGGGATCCCAACCCTCGGCGGGAGCGCCACCGCGCTTCCCAATCGGCGCACTACAGCAGTGCGCCACCGGGCCGGCCCGTAATTTCTAGCATATTTTTAAATGTCATGTAAGGTGGTGGTACAGAAAACAAGCAAAAGAAAGGCCTGTGATCTCTCAGCATCTGTTAGCGAGAAAATAGATGGCGTTGCTCTGAAAAGAATATTCTGGGGCCCTGGAACACTAGTTCTGCATTTCACTTTCTCTCCCATTTTACTACTGTATTATAATCAAGTATAAAGGTCTTTCTTCCCAGCTGTGCCTGCCCAGAACCCCCTCCTTGCAATGATGTCTGATCATTTGGTGTGATATAGATTTCCTCCACATCAAAAGTTCAATGTGAAACTCAGAAAACTGAAAAATGTCCATTGTACTGCAAGTTGGAAAGCCCTGGTTTAAATCCTAAACAGAAGTGAGCCATTGGGGTAGCCGAAGGGAGAGGGGTGGGAATGGGGTGCGCACCAACCACAGCTCACCTGCTGCTCTCTTCTCCCCAGTGGCAGGCCATCTCTCTGACGGTCATTGAGAAGGTGCAGATTGCAGCTGCCATCCTGGGTTCCCTCTTCCTCATCGCCAGTATCTCTTGGCTCATCTGGTCGACCTTCAGTCCCTCGGCAAAATGGCAGCGCCAAGATCTCCTCTTTCAGATCTGCTACGGGATGTATGGCTTCATGGACGTGGTGTGCATAGGTGGGTCTGGGGGCTTGTCTCCATGCGAAGTGGGGAGCTATGTGCTGATGAGATGGACAGATCCCTTGGGATCCTTCCCTGGGATCCCTCCTTGTGGGAGGCCAAAGTAGAGACAGCACTGGAGACCTCTGAGCTCAGAAGAGGCCAGCGGCTTGGATATAAGGGGTGGGAGGGAAGGGGGAGAAGGCAGGGCAAAGAAGGAAGATCTAACTCTTTCCCAAGCAAATCTGTCCTGCCTCACTGAAGGTAAGGATAAGGAGGCTTGCCTCTAAGAAGACCTGAGAAAGGTCGGTTGTCAGTCTGTCCGCCTCAAGAAGGATGTGGACGGCCTCTTCTCCATTGTGTACCCCACAGCTGCCAAGCTGTGATGAGGGATGCCTATGCATTAATTCCATTCTCTTCACAGCAAAATGCCTAAAAACGGCCCTGGTGGCAACTACCTTTTTGTTTCAGCTTTCCATAAGCCTATTCCATGCCCCCAAGTTTCTCTCATCTAGTGGTTTTCAAACTCTGTATAGTGCTGGCATTCCACCCTCAGCTCCAGGAGCGCCTTTGGGAGTGAGGAAAGAAATGCTGCACACACAGGCTCTGAATCCTCACCCCTGCTTCTCCCTGATCTTCTGTACTTTTATCTATTTACATATACTTCTGTTCCAGGTAAGATCTTGTTTAAAAGGCTCCAGTGTTTTAGAAAAAAGCTGGAGCCCACTGCTGTAATTCCTGCTTCTTCCCGCATCCCACTCCCAAGTCTACATTCCTCCTCTCTTTCTCCATGTTATGTTGGTTTGTGGAGGGCTGGGTCTTCCCCCCCACCCCCCAACAGATGATTGTGCTGTCAACTCTGAAGGCTTGGTCCAAGCACCTGAGCGGGTGGGGGCATGGCCCTGGTTTCTCTGAGTGAAGTGAAGCAAACCTAAACTCTGGTTGTACAGCCCAAGCTGGAACACTTGGGTTGTCCCTGGGCCACAGGGAGCATTAGAGTTCCACAGGTGCCTTCCCTGTGCATCAGTACGTGTGGGTATTATATATCCAATATGCTACACTGCTGTTTGGCAGAAGAATATCTATTAGCTAGAATTTGGCTGGACTGATATTGATGTGAATTTCTTTGGGGTCCTTTAATATTAGGAATCAGAAAGGCCTGGAGAGTACATACTGGTTGCGGGAATCTGAGACCAGCCATCTTGCTGCTTCTCCATGATAGCTAAGCCAATATGTCAACACTGAGTCCAAGAGCCTTTTAACTACAGCACCTAGGCAGTGAGAGAAACAGACAGCCCAGGTCTGGAGGACTGTGAATGGGGAGGCATTTGACATTGATTCTAATTTACTTCCTCCTCCCACCAAACTCCCTTCCTACACCTGCTGGGGCCTGGATTGTTGATGCCAAAAGTCAGGTGTGTCTCCATATGGAGGTTCACAGCAGCTCTGGCACTGGGGGGGAAGGAGGGGACAGCCCTCCAGCTGCCTTTCATTCTCTTTCAGGAAGGCTCTAGATCAATCCCTGATGTGTGCTTCTATGACACATGCTTCCCTGTCACATGGTGTTTGAGTCAGCGTTGGCTGCAGTAACAAACAATTCTAAGAATCACAGTGCCATACAATAAACATTTGTTTCCCATACCTGGGTTTGCGAGAGCTGTGGCTTGCTGGGCTTGGCTGGGATTCTGGCTGTGTACTTGGTTCAGGCCTGCTCCCAGTGTCTCATTATGCTTGGGACCCAGCCTAAAGGAGCAGGAACTAGAGGGGTATGAGGTTCCCCTCACTGAGTGCAGGAGCACAAGAGGATTGGTGGAAACTTGCAACACCTCTGTGCAGAACTGGCACATGGTCCCTTCTGCACACAGCCCATTAGCCAACGCAAGTCACCAATAAGCCCAACGTCAGTAGGGTGATATCTTTATTTTTAGGCTCAACTAGACATACAGACTCATGGGGACTAGCAGAGAGCACACTTGGCCTCAGATTCACTTAGGGGAAGGTAGGAAAGGAACCACAGCCTCCAGCATGGCAAGTCTGGCTTATCTCTGTAGGGGAGTTCCTGCCATACTCCACATCCTAGTCCAGGGCCAGTCTCTTGGCTCCTACATGACAGCTGTGGAGTGAGGAGATGAGATCCACAACAGTGGGTGTGGGTCCACCTGGGCATAGTTTCCAGGGTCCCTGAAAAAGTCATGCTCAGTTCAAGTCACTGTGCCCAGGGAAGCCAGCTGGCTCCTACATGACAGCTGTGGAGTGAGGAGATGAGATCCACAACAGTGGGTGTGGGTCCACCTGGGCACAGTTTCCAGGGTCCCTGAAAAAGTCATGCTCAGTTCAAGTCACTGTGCCCAGGGAAGCCAGCAGGTATTCACAGTGAAGCACCCACCAATCAAGAGTTAACCCCAACCCAGGCAATGTTGTCACTCAGCTGACGCTCCATCTTCATCAGATTTCTGAGGGAAAAGAGCCAGAAGGCCAACCCAGGGTCCAGTTCTTTTTTTAAAAAAAATTTTTATTGAATCATAATTGATTATACATATTTTGGGGGTTCAACATTGACATATGTTGATCAAATCAATATTACTAGCATATATAGTTACAAACCATACTTATTCTTTATGCCCCTTGTCTAGTCTCTCCCTATCCGCCTCTCCCTCCCCGCTTCCATCTCTGATAACCCTAGATTTCTTCTTTCCTTCTGAAACAGTAATGGCTACTCTGTTGATTTGTTGCCTAGATGATCTGTCCAATGCTGAGAGGTGTGTTCAGGTCCCCCAATATTATCATAGAGCAGATGCTTCTGTCACTCTGGAATGGACTTTGTGGAGAGAGACATCCTCTTCTTTTCTTTGGTCTCTGCTGGTTAATCTCCTTGTGTCAGTGCACTCCAGTGGCTGGCAGACCATCTGCTTGGTGGTTGTGGCATCTATCTACTTTCGAGGCAGCTGTGGTTACTGTGGTGCTGTGGTGGGCCACACACATGGAGGTGATATTTTTGGCATGCTCCTTGGCACTGGCAGTGTGCCTAGTTGTGGTGGGGGATCTGGTCCCTGGCTCCATACCTCAGGTCTCTGTGTGGGGCCCGAGGTGCTGGAGGGATGCCTGTTGTGGGAGGGGGGTCCAGTTCCCGACCCTGTGCCTCAAGTCCCCAGGCAGGCCCTGAGGTGCTTGCAGTGTGCCTGGGCCAGAAGTAAATTTTTGTCCTTTGCTTACTTCTAAAATGGGGGAACTTCCTGTGGGGACCAGCACTTGAGCTCTGTGGTTTAGCTAAATTGTTGCTTTGTTGTTGATTCCCTAGGGAAGGGCTTTTGTGCAGCTCAGGTTTCAATGGTTGACCTTATAGGTACTTCCAGCTCTCCAGAGATCTGGTGCACCTGGGTTGTGTAGAAACCCTGATCTGGGCTTGAGTCTTTTCATCAAACTGCACCCCATGCAATTCTATATTCCCGACCAGTCTCTCTGAGTGGTCCATAGTTGATTGGGGTGTCAGTCAGCTGTCCTTGCTGTGCCCCACTGTTCCCCTGGTGGGCCTGTCTCCCCTACCACCTGTGCTGCAAACACCTTCCATGGGATGGGCCATCTGGTCCCTTGTGATGACTCACTGGCCTCTGACTGGCTCCTTTTTTTCAGTTGTTGTGGCTCCTCACTCCTATGTGGGTCCACAGGAACCCTATTTGTGGTCTTGCTGGCCTGGGGGCTACCAAGGCCCTCTTCTCCCCTGCCACCTCCAAGCAACTTCATCTGAAGGGCACAGCTGCAGCTTTTGCTGGCTCCTGCTCTGTGCACTCAGCAGCTCCAGCCTTAAAGTGGCTGTGGCACAAAATGGTCAGAGAGGTTTTTTCTTTCTCATTGTGGCTTCTCCCACCTTCATGCACTCTGTAGGTCTCTCCTCCTCTTCCCCTGAGCTCTAGCGGCCCCATCTTGGCTGACATTGCTTTTTTATAGTTGTAAATTGGTTGATTTGTGGAAGAGAATGATGCTTGGGACCGTCTATTCTGCCATCTTGACCAGAAGCCTCCAGTTTATTCTGAGAGAAGGAGAAAGTGTCCCATCACCCTCTCCCACCACCTCTTGCCCCAATTCATGAACCTGTACCTCTGGCTACACAAACCTGATTTACTGAACTGATGAAAGGCAGAGAAGCCAGAACATGGAACAGACGCCTGGCCGGGCCTGCCATAGGAGGCACAACATGGTCTTTTAACTGCATGAAGATGGAAACACGGGCAAGAGAGCCACAGGGAATGCCTGTGTCACTTTTGAGGCACTCGCCCATTTCAAACCCTGATAAATTTGTTTACTCCCATGCAAAAGGGGAAGCTTCCCTTCTGGAAGTCTTGACAGAGTGGAAGAAGATGATATGCAAGACTGGGAAAAAGAAGAGGAGCCCCCCTAGCAGAGAGTGGGTAGAAGAGATGATGGGAGAGGCAAGTATGCTCAAGAAATGATGGCTGGATAGATGTTGAGTGAGAGGACCCGTATGCATAGACCCAAGCTCCTTGGATGGATGCGGCAATTCAGCTCCTGTATAAGAACATCATCACCAGGAGAAAAAACTGAGTCTAGCCCTGTGTTCACTGAAACGGCTGAGTAAGAGAAGAGGAATAAGACCATCTGCTACTATGAGTCTCTGGACTTTATTTTTCAGATACCAAGAACAATTTGTCTATTCCCTAAGATTTTTAAATGGCCACAGATAGTAAAGAATATGAGTACACCTAAATGGATAGTTTTAATAAATTCTGGCTTGCTGAGGGAGAGTTCATGAAGGTGGGAGGGACTCAGAGGAGAAACTCTGCCAGGAGCCAGCAGCAGCTCAGCGGACACTCTCTGCCCTGAAGCCAGGAGGGTGCCGAGCCTGGGGCCTGGCTGTTCGTGAAGCCACATCAGCCCCCTCCATGGCTGTACCCATCCCTCTGGCTTCCAGGACAATCAGCAGTCAACGAGAAGACTCCAGAGCAATGACTCTCTCAGAGACTGACTATTAGTGCTCAGCAAAGGATTTTACCTGAAATGGT